ATCGAAAGGGGAAAACGAAGTCAACAGAATAGTGAGATTGTATGTGTGACAGTGATGGAAAATGAGTGTGCATTGTGCCATTTTGGCCCTTTCGGAAGCAGCCTGCACCTTCAGCACAATCGATTGATTTTCGGCACTATTTTTGCGTAACTCAATGCAACTAATAAATATTTCTTTCGGATCCGCAATTAAAAATATATTTTTTACATTTAATCGTATGTGCTTAAACTGATAAATGATAAAACATAGAAACGCAAGCAGAAGAATCTCGCTTCCACATTCTGCATATGCGCTTAACATTTTTGTTTAAACAAATTTGTCGAAATTTCATCTCTAAAACTCGTGCGTTTAAGTGTTTTTAGATCAGAAGTTTAATTAGAAGTAAAAGTAATTGTATGTACATCATAAGAATGTCAGTACAAAGTAAACTCAAAGAGGATACACGTTGTTGCGGTGATGCCAGACTTTAACACTCCTCCACAACGTGGATTCCTCTTTTACAAAAATTCTAATAATCATTTACAACAAATTCATTTGCTTGGTAAATTGTACATGTTTAGACTTCGACAAATTCTTCGTAAATATATCCGCCGTCATCTGTTCCGTGGGGCAGTACCTTAATGCAATCTTTCTCTCGACTATCAGCTCGCGTATGTGATGATATCGAACATCGATATGTTTAGTGCGGCTGTGATGCACTGGATTGGTTGCTAACTTCTCCGCCCCTTGATTGTCAATGTGTAGCACAACTGGATCGTCTTTCCAAAAACCGATTTCTTTCAGTAAGCGTTGCAAATATACTGCTTTCTTGGCGGCATTTGATGCGGCCATGTATTCAGCCTCTGTGCTGCTTAACGCGATTGTATTCTGCTTCTTCGATTCCCATGATATAGTGCAGTTGCCATACATGAACACGAAGCCTGTGTACGATTTACGATTATGGGAATCGCTTCCCCAATCGGCGTCAACATAACCTTGTACACGCTTGCCACCTGCACTGTAAGAAAGTTTAAGACTCATACTGCCTTGCAAGTCCCTTAATATATGCTTCGCTGCAGCCATATGCTCCATGTGTGGGTCTTCGTTTCTTTGCGACAGCTTCGAAACCGAATGAATAATGTCAGGTCTTGTTGTGACCCCTAAATAAATTAGTGCTCCAATGAGCGATTGGTATTGTGTTACATCTGCTTTGACGCAATTTTCATTGCATGCCACTTGATAGCCCTTCTCCAAAGGAATCGCCACACTCTTGCATTTGTCCATACCATATTGTATTAATAAGTCACGTATATACTGCTTTTGACTTACGGTAATAGAACCAACTTCACCATCTCGATCGATTTCCATCCCTAGGAAATGTTGTAATGCGCCTTTATCTACTACGTCGAATCTGTCAGATATGAGTGTCTTTACCCTGAGATGTTCTTGCAAGCAATGATCATGTCGTCAACATACACTGCGATGAGAACTAACTCATCCCCCGAATTCAGCTTATACAAACATGGCTCATCATCGCATGCTACAAAACCAATTTGTCGAAGGACCTCGTCGAGTTTGAAGTTCCACTGCCTGCCAGATTGTTTCAAGCCATAAATCGCCTTTTGTAATTTTAAAACTCTTCTTGGTTGTTTCTGGTCAATAAAACCTTCAGGCTGCTGCATATATATCTCGTCATCTAAATCGCCGTACAAGTACGCCGTGCTTACATCTAGCTGGTGAAGGTGCATCTTCTCTTCGACCGCTATTGCCATCAGCATACGTATTGTAGCGTGCCGTACTACTGGCGAGAAAGTTTCTCGGTAGTCGATACCAAATCTTTGTTCGCACCCCTTTGCTACCCGTCGTGCCTTGTAGCGTTCAATTTCTCCGCTCTTATTGCGTTTTAAAGCGAACACCCACTTATTTTTAATTGCCTTCTTACCTGGCGGTAGCTCAACGTACGTCCACCTTTTATTTTTCTCCAGCGCTGCGAATTAGACCTGCATAGCATTCTTCCACTCATTGAATTTGCGACTCGAAAGGGCCTCCTCGACGCTCGTAGGAACACTCTCACTCGTTATGCTGTTGACTACGTTGTACTGCTTTTTGGGTCGTCCACGCTGACCAGTTCGTAGCAATTTCGGCCTACCTTGGTAACGTCTTCAGATATCTCCTCCTGGTTGTCACTGCTATTATCATATACCGACTCACATGCTCCTTCTGCATCTGCACTGTCATAGGATGAACTGTCGCTCTCCAACTATTTTGCATATTCTCTTCCCCGAGAAAAACTTGGAGTACATCATCATTTTCGCTACTTTTATCACCATCACTGCATGCTTTGCTGTTATCAACGAAATTTTCATTAAAGAGTACATCTCTCTTTACAAAAATTGTATTTAGCTCTTCGTCGTACAAACGGTACGCCTTGCTTTCGAGTGAATATCCAACCATAATAAGCTGTTTTCCTTTTGCTGCAAACTTTTCTCGTCGTGCTTTATCAAGCGCCACTGCAACAGCACCAAACGTTTTCAAGTGGCCGACCTTTGGTTTTCGATTAAACCACATTTCGTACGGAGTTTTGTTCTTTAGAATTGCTGTTGGGCATCTGTTTTTCAGATATGCAGCCGTTGATACCGCTTCCGCCCACAAACTCTGCTTTACATGCGCATGTAACAACATGCTCCTCGCCATCTCTACCAGAGTGCGATTTGCTCGCTCAGCCACCCCATTCTGTTGCGGCGTATGTGGCACTGTTAACTCGTGTCGTATGCCGTGCTGCCTCAAGAACGCGTCAAAGTATTTATTGACATACTCCTTGCAATTATCGCTCCTTAGCGCTTTGATTTTGCAGTTTGTTTGCCGTTCTACGTAAGTTGTGTACATTTTAAACTTTTCAAGCACTTCGCTTTTGGCTTTCAGAAAATAAACACAGATAAATCTCGACTTATCATCTATTAGCGTCAACAAATATCGCGAGTCTCCAATTGATTTCACGTTAACAGGGTCGCAAACATCAGAGTGGATTAGCTCTAACAGCTTTTCTGATCTGCGCTCTGTTGCCTTAGGAAATGGTAGCAGAGAACTTATAATTATATGAGTGTGAAGCCCAATCAACTAAACTACGTAAAGAATTGCAAGTCGGCGGCAGAGGCTTGGCAGAAATTGCTGGAAGTGCACAAGCCGTAAGGGCCGGTACAGAAAGTTAGCTTATACAAACAGCTCTTGAAGTTTCTCAATGCTTTTACGGAAATCGCCGATAAGCTTGCGGAGATTGGCATAGTCATTCAAGAAGAATTGTTAAGTATAATTCTGCTTTCAAGTTTACCTAAATCGTTTGAAAATTTCTTCGTAGCGATAGAGACACGTGATAGTTTGCCTTCACTCAGCGCCTTAAAGTTAAAGATTTTAGAAGAAGGTGAGAGGAGAAAGCGACAAAATGAATCGTCAGACGAAGGCGGACAACAGGCCTTTATTGCCCGTGAGCATGCCAAAAAGCAAAAGAAAAAGTTTAATGGCAAGTGCTTTGCATGCGGGAAGAAGAGCCACTTTGCCAATAAATGCAAGGAAAAGCAAAAAGATGGAAAGGCAGAGAACTTATAATTTTATAAGTTCTCTGGAAATGTAGATAGAACTTCATATGTGTATAGAAAAGTACAAACCCAGCAAACATTTGGAGTAACAAATAAGTCAATTTTATTTCTTAAACTGATTCGCATTATATCTTTACAGAAGACTATAAGGATTAATCATTAAAATAATAAATTTTAATAGTTTAAGTTTTTAATTTATATTTTTATGCAACCACATATATCATATATCGTCACCGGAAATGCAATACGACGGAAAAAACATCGTTCCTTATAAAAAATTCAAAATTCTCTTTTGATTAATATGATGGATTTCATCGAATTACAACTCCTCACATCGTTTTATCAAAAAAAAATATTAGTCACGAATTTTTCTACTTTATTGAAGTTGCTTTTTACGACTTTTTCCATTTCAGATGACGATATGTATAACAAAGATACTAACACATACTTCCATATACATATGTATGACAGAAACTTTCGGAAACTTTCCGATATTTTGATATTTTCAAAAACAAAAAAAAACTAAAACATTCATTATATGAATTTCACACATATATATATTTATTGATTCTAATTCGAGCTAATTGAATATCTAATTGCATTAGCAGAAGTCAATTAGATTCCTAATTGTAAAGGTAAACCAATTTTTTTTTGCTAATGGCAACTAATTGCAATTAGTTTTACCATTGGAATAAAAATTTCAATTATCTAATGGGAATTAGTTGAACTAATTCTAATTGTTTGATGAATTAGAGAATATAAACCAATTGCATCAATTGCTAATTCTAATTGGAATTTAACATGTATGAACAAAATACAGTTTAAAAAAATAAACTTAATGCAGTGAAAATCAAAAGAGTTTTATCTTCCATTTGCATTTTATCTCATTACGCTACCACTTTAGGTTTGGAAATATTGGCTTGCAAAGAAAAAATTAGTGAACGTCCCAGTTTTTTTTGGTAATAATTTTTTGTTGAATTTGGTAAAAAATAAAAAAAAATCGGAAAAACTGTGAGTTATGAGTTGTCGATGTTTAACAATCGATATGTGTTTAGTTTAGTACCTTCAAAAGGACTTCTTTTTCGAAGGAGTCGTCAATCCTACATCAACAGCGCAGAAAAATGCCAATTCTCGTTCTGTAAACAAATGGAGGGGAAAAAATTCTCACTCTTGATGAAAAAGTAATTTTTGATTTAGGCGTTTGACCAATTATATATTTCTATCGAAGTTGTATGTGAAGCACCGAATCTTTTTTTTGGAAAATAGAGTTATTTTGGAATCTGCATTTAAGAAAAATTAGCTAATATTTTCTTACTTAGAGTAAATTAAAAATTTATTGAAATTCTATCATAATAACTGATGATGACTTTGTTTAGCTTATTTTAACAGAAAAATACAAATACATTAATATTGTCCATACAATTTCAGCATAAAAATAGCTTCATCTCCCAGCGGTCTCATAAAATTGGAAATATCAAATATTAATCCAATTGATTCTGGAGCGTATAAAGTAGTCGTTTCAAATCCGCTTGGAGAAGTATCGTCATTATGTGCAATCGCGGTAACTCGTAAGTAAATTTCAGCGAGTAACATGAAGTAAAAAAACTAATACATATGTGTGTGTTAACCTCAATTTTAGCTAAGGAACATCCGCCTTCATTTGTCAGACAGATAGCAGATGTTAAAGTTTCTGTTGATGAACCACTAAAATTGGAAGCTCAGGTTGTGGGATTTCCTGCGCCCGAAGTCAAGTGGCTTAAAAATGGAGTTGCGTTACGTCCAAGCAATAGCTTAAATTTCATAAATAACCCAAATGGAATCGTTGGCTTGAGGTGAGATTTAGATAAACCCAAGGTACATTAAACATTTAATAGGAACAGAGCAGATTTTGTCCTCTAAATCATCGAAAAAAGTTAAACAATGTTAGCATTTGAACGTAAAATATAAACAAAAATGGCAATTCATGGACCACTTCGATTTAGGGTAACCAGACTTCGAATTTTTGAACCAAACCGTCGCTTTTTTCGGTCTTTGAACCGAACCGCGATCCGAACCGTTTTTATTTTGAAGTGCTAAAACCGAACTCAAAACCACTTCAAACAAGTAAGAGCAGCGCTCTCTTCGGCTATGCCGAAGGCTGCCGAAGACTCCATACCTTTCATGAGCATCTGAAAATTTTACGTTAACAGATTGCTGCATTTGAAAAAATTTATATATTCACAGCAGACATAGATAGAGGAGATACATATATAAAAAATTCTAGCTAAACAATCAGAGGTATGGAAGATATACCTTATATAGCACCAATCTAAGTGATTTTTACTGCTGTGTGATCGGTACGTAAACCGGTAACACAATTTAATGGGTTTAGCTTCCTACATAAGGGAGATACATATATCGCAAAAACTGGTATCTGAACAATCAGTGGTACAAGAGATTAAGATTATACAGCATAGACTTTGTATTATTATTTAAGTTATTAGATTGCATACAAACAGACGGACAGACAGACAGACAGACGGACAGACGGACATGGCTAAATCGACTCAGTTCGCCGTTCTGATCATTTAAGTATACATTTTAATGGGTCTATATCTTCTTATTCTGGTACTTACAAACATCGGACCAAAGTTATAATACCATTTCATGTTCATGAAAGGTATAAAAATGGTTCGGTTCGGTTCAAAATGAAAATCCACTATAGCATTTTTCAAGTTTTGTAATTTTGTCTGAAAATGCATCCCGTGTGGTAAAAATTAAAAAAATTTTTTGTTTGATGGCAACTCCGTGAGTTGTAATTTCGCCAGCGAAAAAATAATTAAAAAATCAATGCGAATTTTAAGATAATTGAGCTATAAAACCGCATACTCGGATTTTTTAGTTCTGATAAAAAGATTGATGCTTTGATGCAATTTTTTTGAAATCTGTAATTTTTTTCTAATTTTCGTACAGAGACTTTAATTTGGATTTATGTGGTTGTTTTTATAGAACGAGCTATACTTTTATAAAAAATTAACGAACATTAAACCAAAAAAAAAGAAGAAAAATTGTCAAATGTTATTTTAACCACAGGTATACTGTACATATGAAGTTAAGGCCTAGTGTAATCTCCAACTGGCCGAAAATGGGGGTTTCAACATTAAGCCAAGATTTTGAGTGTCATTTAAAAATCCTAAGTATGCTGTGTTTGTCTACTCGGCTAGGCTCACGACTTGTACAAACCTTAAATACGTTTATTAAAATTTTTCTAATTTCGCCTTGATCGCGTTGATTTTAAATAATTTTTTTGTTTCGGGTATTACGAATTTTCTTCTATACAAAAAAAAATCCCACATACTTTGTATCCGTGAATATGGTCAAAAATTAAGTTAAAACTTAAAAATTTTTCTTAGAAATGTTTATTAAAAATTTTGCAATCTAGATAATGTTTCATCAGGATTTTCATAACTTTTGTTAAAAGTTTGAAACTTGTGTTTTTATATTAAAAAAATAAACATTAAAAAAAGACAAAATAAAAATTGCTAAAACTTGCTAAAATGTCGCGTGCCTATTTATTTTTTATACCTTTCATGAGCATGAAATGGTATTATAACTTTGGTCCGATGTTTGTAAGTACCAGAACAAAAAGAGATTGACCCATTAAAATGTATACTTATATAATCAGAACGTCGAGCTGAGTTGATTTAGCCATGTCCGTCTGTCCGTCTGTCTGCCTGTCCGTCTGTTTGTATGCAATCTAGTCTCTCAGTTTTCGAGATATCCGGATCAAATTTGGTAGGTGGGTGTATTTTTATAATGTATTAATCATTTGTCGGAACCGAAAGAATCGGACCACTATAACATATAGCTCCCATACAACTGATTGTTCAGATATGAGATTTTTCGTTATAACTTCTCCATTTATGCAACTACGAACATGAAATTTTGCAGTACTTGCACCCATTATCAACAGAATACTTACAGTGAAAATTACAAAGATCGGGTCACTATAACATATAGCTCCCATACAACTGATTGTTCAGATATAAAATTTTTCGTTATAACTCCTCCATTTATGTAGCTAGGAATATGAAATTTCGCGCTGTTTTCACTCATTATCAACAGAAGACTTACAGTGAAAATAACAAAGATCGGGCCACTATAACCTATAGCTCCCATACAACTGATTGTTCAGATATGAGATTTTTCGTTATAATTTATCCATTTATGTAGCTAGGACCATGAAATTGTGCGCTGTTTTCACTCATTATCAACAGAAGACTTACAGTGAAAATAACAAAGATCGGGTCACTTTTACATATAGCTCCCATACAACTGATTGTTCAGATATGAGATTCTTTGTTATAACTTCTAAATATATGCAGCTAGAAACATAATATTTCGCACTATTTTCACTCATTATCAACAGATAGTTTACAGTAAAACTAACAAATATTGGGTCACTGTAACTTATATATTGCCTCCATATAACTGATTGTTCAGATATGGTGTTTTAGTGTTAAACTAATTTATTTGGACAGCTGAAACCGATAAATTTCGTAAGCTATTGTATAAATAATAATACAAAGTCTACTGAGAAAATCGTCAAAATCTATGCTGTATAAGCTTTATCTCCTATAGCACTGATTGTTCAGATACCAGTTTTTGCGATATATCTCCTTTATGTAGGAAACTAAACCCAATAAATTGTGTTACCGGTTTACATACCGATCACATAGCAGTGAAAATCACTTAGATTGGTGCTATATAAAGTATATCTTCCATACCTCTGATTGTTTAGATGCGATTTTTTATATAAGTATGTAACTCCTCTATCGATGTATCCAGATGTATTCAAAAGCAGTAATCTGTCAAAGTAAAATTTGCAGATGTTCATGAAAGGTATGAAGCCTTCGGCATAGCCGAAGACAGCGCTGCTCTTACTTGTTATATTATAGATTTGTCATATTTACATATTTAGCATACAAAAATTGAACCATTTGAACCGAACCGAACCACGGTTCAGGGATACTCATGAACCGGTACAATCTTTATCTGAGTGGTTTGAACCACTGAACCGAACCACACCGATTTTTGGAGTGGTTTGCAGCCCTGATCCTGACTAATTTTTCTTTTCCCGTCTCATATCCTTATTTTTATTACAAAGCTGATCATTTATAAACTAGCACAGGCTAAATCGCATCGATTTATGTTCAAAAAATGTTCAAATCGAAATCGACACAGTGAAATTGAGCACACGTAATTCTGAATTCAAAACTAAATTCATTCGAAAACGATTATCAGCGCATGCCTGTTTCTCATTTTTCAACCGTTTGGGGGTGTCCTGATTTTTCCTTCGACTCATTTGGTCACCCACTTTTAGTGCTACCTATCAATGTGGCTTTGATAAATTTGCCTTAACTCGATTTATGTCGACTGGAAAATCAACTGAAACATCAAGCCCAAAGCATTTTCACCAGTCGACACAAGTCGCAGCCGGTTGAATTGCCATTTACACGGGTCGATTTTGCTTGAACGACAAAAATCGATGTACTAGAAAATCGACCCGGGTAAAGCTTTCTTTAAGCTATAATCACTATGTCGACTCCTTTACGCAAAATTATCGGATGTACCATTTTTTCGACTTTAGATGCAAATTTGTTCTACTCTGCCCAACGCATCACTTGGTAAAATATTGTGGCCAAAATCCCTACAGTTAGGCCAAAAATTTACTGTATATTTTATTGTAAGTTACAATGCATTATTTTCTTTGGGGCGAAATTATCGTATGTGCCATACAAAAGTATTTTGAACATAGCAAAAAATAATTAAACATAAAAAAATGTAATAAAACATTTTTTAAAGTACAAATAAAATTATAGCTTAAAAAACTAAAACCTCGCTACTATAATTTCCATTCGTACTGTCATCAGGTATGTAACTTGATAATAGAAATCGCTGCATATTTTAGGCACATCAATATTACATAGTTACATCCAGAGCTAATAAAAGGTAGGTAAAAACGCTCTCCTGTAAAATTTGGTTTCGGGCACATACGATAGTTTAGCGCAAAGGGATCGATAATTTTCTAGTGCTATAATAACAGCAACGCCATTATATTAATACGGACGTGTACCTATATTTTTATTGCAGCATAGATAATGTGCAACCTCAAGATGCTGGCATATATAAGTGTATCATAGTCAACAAAAATGGTGAAATGGAAGGAAGCTCTACCGTGACTGTATTAGCAAAGGATAAAGAACCAGAGTTTATAACAGAGTTGCATGATACCAATTGTATTGAAGGATTTCCCTTAAAGTTACAAATAAAAGTAGTAGGAAATCCTCTTCCGGACATTAAATGGTTTCGTAATGGCAAAGAAATTTTCGCTGCCAAGGGCCAGTGTACTTTTATACAAAATAATGATGGTGCATGTAGTTTAGTTATTGAGCAGGCTAATTTGAATGACTCTGGATTATATGAAGTAGTTGCTTCAAATATAAAAGGTGCTGCTTCGTCAAAAGCAAGATTACATGTCGCTTTGAAAATGGACGAATCTATGCCAGAGGAACCTCCTCGATTTGTGTCATCTATTAGAGACGTAAATGCAAATGAAGGAGATGAGATCAATATATCTGCAGCATTTGTTGGAAATCCTATTCCTGAAGTTATTTGGTCAAAAGATGGAACCCCTCTCTCCATTGATAATCGCTTTTTAATTGAATGTGATGGTAAACATGTTAATTTGAATATAGCTCCTGCTGAAGCTAGTGACTCGGGTACATATAGCTGCCTCTTAGCTAACCCACTTGGCGAAGATAACTCTTCTTGCGAAGCTAATGTCAGAAAAGTTTACAAAAAGCCTATATTTACTCAAAAGATATGTGATCAACAACAATTAATTGGGTCTGATGCAAAAATAGCTGTAACTGCTTCTGGCGTGCCTAATCCTGAACTGTCATGGTACTTTCAGGACAAGCCCATTTCAACAGGGGATAAATACCACATAACTAACGACGGTGATCACCACGGATTAGTAATCAAAAACTGTCAAATAAACGACCACGGTGTATACAAATGTATCGCGAGAAATAGGGAGGGTAGCGATGTTACTCAAGGCCGGTTAGATGTGGTAAATGAACTGTAAGTAAATTATGCCTCGTATTTTAAGATCTACGTACATATGTATTTTATTATCACGTTTATATCCACTCGATTTATTGTATCCCTTTTCCATGGTATTTTGAATGTGGATTTCCCGTTCATTTAGCGACTGTTAACAGTTTTTAGTCGTTCATCCTTCTACAAACAAACAGTTGTAGACTGAAAGCAATTAACGCTCACTTATTTAACAAGAAAACGACAATCGAATAATAGTCGTTTACATACTACTAGTCGACACTCGAAATAGGGGTGTTAAGCTCTGAACACAACGAAAAGGACATCACCAGACGACACGACATAATAGTTGTGTTTAATGAGCTGCTCTAGGTTACGCCAGCTTAAGATATCTCACAAAATTGTATTTCATGCGGATTTTTCTTGCTCTAACTTACTCTAGCTTTTGTTTCATGAGCCTGAGCTAAGTGGAACTAGAGCAACTTAGTGCACGATTTTCTGCACCAACTTAGGGCAATCAACCGTTTTGAGAATTTCTGCTTGAAAAGTGTTTCATGAAATTTGTGAACTGAGTTGCCCCAACTTGCTCTAATGTTTTTTGACATCTGCTCGATTCTGCTCTAACTTGAGCTGCTCTGAACTTTTATGGTCTCATTAAACACAACTAATGCTGTGTCGACGGCGACATGAATTTTTTAAAGGCGTGAATTTGTTTGAGTTTGACATAAAAGAAAAGAAGAATTTTATCTGTCACTAGAAAAATAGAAATAGATCTAATCTGGCCACAGCTACTTTTTGGGCTAGTCGCAGTGTTGCCGTGTGGTCGCCAAAATAATGTAGATCACATAACAGTATGTGTTAAAATCAAGGAATGAAACCGAAACCGTAACTGTTTAAAACCGTTTCGATTTTCAAAACCGAAACCGCAACCGTTATCTTGACTTGAAAAGGAACGAAACCGAAACCGTTTAAAGCACAGGTTTCAATCGGTTTCCAGAAATTTATAAAAATCAGCTGTAGGATCTAGCAACCAAATTTTTTTTTCTTCAGTAGCATAACTGTGCCGTTTCACAAAAATTGACTTGCATGAGAAATTTGTTGATTAGTATGTGGATAGCCGTACTTTTAATTCTTATATATCGTGACTTAAGGCAACTCTGATAAATGTTCTCCAATTCAAGGCGAATTTATACAAGGCGGTAGCAGTGAAGTTTGAAGTTTTTCACTCACTTTAGAAGCCTGTGATGACGTTGTTGCTGTGTATCTGGTGATCACTCACCCCTAATTGCGTTCGAAAGTCGTCTCTCGATAATCTTTCACTTTTCCTCCCAAGTCACTCCGAAACACTTCACTTTTAGTGTGTTTTCACTTTGCTCGAAAATTAGCGAACGGCAGCACTGTACGGCGGTACCAACAATACAAAAATAACAATAGGTTCATTCCTTATCTTTTTGGACTAAAATCTGAAAAGTGTCAAAATGCCAGAGAGTAAGCAAAATGCGCTCACTAAAAGAGAATAACAGGAAAAGTAAAGGAACGCAAAAAACCAAATTTTTAGTCCAAAGAATGGCAACAACAAAGCTAACGTCAAGTAAGAATGGAAATGTATGTACAAAACACATTCACACAAGCACAATAAACACTTACCATATCAATTTTTTTTGCCTCCTTCCAATTTCAATTCACTTTTATTACTTTTTAGATTATTCTCACTTTTTGCATATTCTTTAATTTCCGTTAATTTAAATTTAGTTGAGTTTGACACTTTTCAGGATTTTGCCAGAAAAAATTCTTCTGACTAAATCTGACTACTTTGGACTGATGAGAGTCACTCTCACTGGGTGTTGCTCTCTCATTTTAGCTGTCATTTCCGAGTTAAGGAACGCTTTTTGGACTAAATCTGACTACTTCGGACTTTTTCTGACTATTTCTGGGAGATAAGGAACGCTCCTAATGCCATGTACATTGTATTACGGGTGTTACAAGACGAATTTATAAAAGGTGGTGTTAATGGCGAATTTAGATTTTCGCCGCTGTACTTCCTAATGTCAAAATCAAGGCGAATTTATACAGGGTGGTGTTGTAAAATCGGCTGATTTCTTCGCCTTACATGTATTTAGTTTTTGCTTTTACTGATTTGACGCACACCCATCAAAAGCAAAAACAAAATACATGCAAACTTTGGGGCGAATAGAGATTTGACATAACACCCGCAATACAAAATACATGTGGTGGTTGTTGTTGTAATCTAAACTCGCCAGTAACTCCACCTTTTATAAATTCGCCTTGGTAAAAAGTATGTGTTTGTTGTAAACAAGGCGAATTCATATTACAACAAACAAATCATTTTGACATTAAGAAGTACCGCGGCGAAAATCAAAATTCGCCAGTAACACCACCTTGTATTAACTCGCCTTGCGGGTGTTATTAGGTTTGTATAGTAAGAAATAGTCAGTACTAATTTGTACTGGAACCTGCAAATTTCCTGGGCACAACTTTCTCTGTGCTTATAGATTGTACAAAGATTACCGATTAAGTACAAACCCTTAAGTGGGGTGCGAACCAAACTGGCGAAGGTTTTTATTATATTTTATAAGGGATATTTTTATGTTTCATATTCTGTGTTTAAAAGTTTACCTCTGAAAAATGCGAGCTGATTTAAAGGACAGTTTAAGAAATAGAGGACAAAAGGCGTCCTTTATTTTGAAAAAAATTATAAAGGACAGGGGGTTAAAATAAAGGACTGTCCTTTAAAATAAAGGACGGATGGTCACCGTAGATATGCTGCCAAATAAATGTAAACAAATGAAATTGCAATAAATAAAGATAGTTACGCCGATAGTATTTAGAGTTCAACGCTGAGCTGCCGCCGTATTGAAAAAATCGTCCAATATTATAATGAATTAAACAGTGTATAAATATATAGCAAACATCTTAAAAACATATATTTAGAAACGTGGTATTAGTATAAAATATTTTAGTTACTTTATAACATCAGTAATATAAAATATAATAAATTTGTTTGCAACTGGCACCTAACAAAGCGGGGTTAAATTTAATACAAGCGGCATAAGTCTTTACGATCAGCTGTTTAGGCTAAGTCCAACACGTTAAGTTCAGGTAGCGTAAACATTTTCCGCTTGAATAAATGGCGAAAAGTTGCCAACTGTTGAGCTGAGCGGAACTACTCAACTGTGCGTTTCGAAGACAAACACTCAACAGTTTAACAACAGCTACGTCTTAGAAACGCGCCCATTGATAAATACTTTGGGCACGGTGGAATTGTTTGCCCAATGATTTCGGGCTATTGTGTTCAAATGGGTGACCGATCCAAACAAGATGGTTGACCTGATACACACACTTGTAGTTAAGGGTGTAATCTGTTTTAAAAACTTAATTTTCTCATTTTCAGTCACTTATAAATTATTAAATTCGGTTTAAAATATATATGTACTTTTTTGTGAATTTCGGAGTGAGTTCTGCGCAAAAATACTGTGGATCGCTACGCTAAATGTGCTCTGCGCAAAAATATTGTGGTCAGCCTAGCCGAAGGCCGCCAACTCGAAAAGGTGTTATGCACTAAAATACTGTGGATGGCGTAACGCGAGTTAACATTTGCTCTGCCAAATGCTAATTTTACCCCATTTTAAAATTGTCTGTGGAAGGGTTAGAGGGGGTTTTTACAAAGTTTGAACTGCGCTATTTCTAGTGGGTGGTGAATCAAGAGCAGAGGTGGGCACTACCACAAACAAGCGTGAGCTAAAAGTGATAATGTGTTAGTGTATCCAATTCACCCTGTAGGGAAACCCCGAACTGGTGAACCAAATTTGTAGTTCCGTACTGGATCTTTATCGCCAAAAATGAACCAGTCCGATAGTAAATACATCGCCACCAGTTAAAAAGCAGCGATATGTGGTACTTTAAAAAAACAATTTTGGAAATCTATATCTAAAATGATGAATTTAGAACTGGTTGAAAACTATAGAAAAAGGGATGCAGAACGAACTAGATCTCATCTGGCGAATTTTGAACTATTTCGAAACTACTGAAAAAGGGATCGCTTGTTTAGATTTTGGCGGGTTTTTCGTTCAAATACGCTTTCAGTCTGCACGTCACAGATGCTTTTTTATAGTTTGGTAATACAAAACTAAAATTTGTGTTAACATCTTAACATTTTTGGCCCTTCTGGAATATAACCAATAACAGTCAGCACCTCTGCAAATTCAGCTGCAGCCAAAGGCATGTAAATGTGTTTTCAAATGCAAAATTTAATTTACATTCATTAAAACAAATTTGATTTCACATTGAAAATACATTTCTCTGCAAATAATTAAAAATTGCTACCATGGTAACCCAAAAAGAAAACATCTTGCTGCTTTTTTCGTTTACAACTGGTTCTGAACTATAGAAAATGGGGTGCAAAGCGAACTAGATCCCGTATGTCGAATTTAGGACTGGTTCTGAACTATAGAAAAGGTAATGCAGCGGGGACCAAATTCCAATACCTATAACATCGCCGTGTTAAATTCGCGAGTTGTTTGCATGCAAAAGAGATTTATCACTGACGAACAAAAATACCTACCATTTACTTTGAAAAAATCTACCAAGTCTGGAAAATATCTACTAGGGCTGATGATTTCACCCGGGTAATGAGCTACCCGGGTACCCGGGTAGCGGGTGAAGCCCTACCCGGGTATTGAATTACCCGGGTAGCCCGGGTACCCGGGTAGACCGGGTACCGGGTATATATAAATACTAGCAGACCCGGCGAACTTCGTCCCGCCCAAAATTTTTATTTTTTTATTGAAACTTTTTGGTCCAACATTTTCACCAACACGGAATTTTTTCCTCTTTATTCCGTGGCGGCAACAATGACCCGGTTCTATAGTGAATGTCCTAGAAGCTTTACAGTATAGTTGGTGGCAATTTCAAAATGGGTGCGAATCATTGTTGTACAGAAATGCAATATACATATACTTATTTCAGAAGAAGTACCTTAAAAGCTTGAACGCATAATAATATTG